TCTACATAGTGAGACCCAGGCCAGCTAGAACTATATAGCAAGACCCTGTCTCAAAACAAAGCAAAATATAATAAAACGAAACAAAAACAAAAATTGCAGATCAGGTGGGGAAGAGTGGTACAAGTCACTGAGTCACCTTCTGGGAAGCTGAGGCAGAATAATCCCAGTGTTGAGGGCAGTCTGGAATAACAGTGAGCCCTTGACTCCAAAAATAAAAATAGGTCCAGTGATGAAGGGACCTAGCCCAGACCATGACAGTGACCTATGCAACAGGGAAGTGCAGTCTGCTGAGGTTCCACGTGTTTCTTCTCTTTGCTTCACATTGCTTGCTAAGAAACTCATCCCTTGGGGTGAGGAACAAATGAATCCCACACCACATGGAAAGACAGCAACACAGCTCAAGTGTAAGAGTAAATCCACAACAAATATATCCCTTTAAAAAACCCCAAAACCCATGTAGGAGATTCTCCAAGGTTGAGCAATTGAGAGAAAGGTTGAGATGCCATACAAGTTTTAAGAAATAATCTACACAAGGGTAGATTCCTCTGCCTATCTTGCAAAAACTCACTTATTTTGTCCCTTCCAAGATAGAAATGCTAATATGACCATGGCAACAGGGTACGGTGGATGTAGGGACTATGTGGGGTGCCCATATTCCTATAACTCACACTCTTTTACCAAAATTTTCAAATCGTTGTTTTCATTTTAATGTTTTTCAACATTTTGATGTGGCAGAGCCTACATTTGGAGATAAATCCATTTTAAGAACAGGTGTATCTATAAGGATTAACATGCAAAACAAGTAGAAGTTACTGGTGGCTTTTTACCTCCTTTTATTTTGATTAAAAATGAACTGTATTTTGAGGGAAACACATTTAAAACCTGGGCATGTAAAGATTTTGTTCCAAACCAAAGTCTAGTCTCTTTAATCCTGAACCCTTAAAACAGACATTAGGGGTTCAGCCACACTCCTAACTGGGGTATGCTGATGTCCCTTTACATACTCTCTGGAAGTTGTCTAAACTGTGCCCTCATATCCCGAGTCTGAGGTCCCGATGCCAGCGCCCATGGCTTTGCCGTCCTGTCTTCCAACGCCATCAACACATGTGAGTCATGTGATGCTCAGAGCACTTTGTCCTTCACCAAACCTAAGTGGTGAACATCTCGGTGGAATTCCATTGACTCTCATGGCAGCCTTCCTCCCTCAGTGCAGCTGACTTTAGGTGGGGAGCAGTTCATGAGTCTAAACACGTTTGAGGCTGCAACAATGGGAATTTGGTGAGCTGAAAAAGAACTGGGCTTGAGAACAAAACCTACCCATACGCAATGGATAAGGAAACCCAGAAGTAATGTCTTCATTCTTTCTCAAATTTTGTCAGTTTATCTTGAATCTGTCCTGGGACGAGGTGCTGAGCTATCAACCCCATAGACTCCATAACGCACAACATGACACAGATCCAACCTTTAGAAATCCAAAAATCTCATGTGTGTACAGCAGGGGATGGGGGGATGCTGTCAATATATTTTATCACACTTCAGTCCTCACATAGTTTTGAGATACTAAGTAAAAAAGCCTAATGTGGAAGAAGGGACTTAGCACATGCTTAATTAATTACAGCTTTACGATCACTATTGTCATAAATTCTATTTGAGAAGAAAGGAAACGGGGCGGGGAGGGGGGCTTCTGGATGCTGTTCACAATTACAGCCAGCCCTCCATTTGAATGGAATGCTGCAGAACTTTCTGGTGACTCCGTTGGTATGCTGGTATGCCAAAGGTGCCTGGCCACAGCAGGGAGACAAAGGGCTCTCTGGCCACGAAAACATCCTTGTTTTCAGAACAGTGAGGAATGGTTTTCGGGAATAAATGGCTTTTTATCTTCAAAGACGCTGTGGCCATAAGAAGCACACTTACTGGGCATAGTGAGCTCTGCCCTGGAAGACTGAGAGGGTGAGGTGCATGCCAAAGTCAACAGCACCGAGGCCAGTGTGGAGAGATGTCTGGGAAGCAGAGAGAAGCTATGGACAGTGGGGATCTCTAAAGCACAGGCCTATAGATGGTGCACAACGTAGATAGCAACAGAGTGTGCAAAATGGGAAAAAAAGTCACTTAACATGATGCTCAAAGACTCGGGAAGAGTGGAAAACTACAGAGCAGGGAGCAAACACCTTCCTGGAGAGGCAGGTGTCATGCAGAGGTCACTGTGTCACCTACCCCCCAACTACCCCCACCCCTGTAATGTGGGGGTGGGGATAGGACCTTTGTTCTCATCTTCTCCGGTCAGCCCCAAAGTGTTACATATCTGTGCTGTGTACTGAACAAGACTCTTGCTATAGGCAAGTGTTGAACACCTGGAATGTTCTTGAGAAGGAGGACATGACATGTTAAGAGAGAGCCTTACTATGTAGCCTTGGCTGGCTGGAGCTGGTTATGTAGATCACCCTGACATCAAACTCTGCCTGGCTCTACCAGCTGCATGTGGCACCATGCTCAGCCCTTCCTGTTCTAATCTGCAAACCACCTGGAATCTTCTAGAGCAAATCTCTAACCCTTTCAGTGGTCAGACCAGGAAGCGTTAAGCACCACAGCATTCGAATCTCCTCCAATCAACAGGAGGGACTTGACAAACATCCACTTAATGCCATTTGGCCTTTCTCCACCCCAGTGCATACGTGCTCCTTCCTGGAATGACAATCAGCAGGGCCTCCGGAGTGTCTCAGTTACAATCTTTTCCCCAAGAGAGGGAGGATTTGCTATGAGAGAAAGGGTCACGCATAAATTCTGGTGGTGTCAAAGCTGTCACGGCTGACTCAGTTCAGGCTGCAGAATGCTGACTCTGCACTGCAACATCTAGCAGCTCTCCTGTAGGGGACCCAGGGATAGAGTGGGTTAGCTGCACAGATGATACAAAAAGAAGTGCTGAAGGTGTCAGCTTGGGTAGTTTATAAACACAGGGTAAAGTCCCAATGCAAAAATGAAAACTTACAAAGCGCAAGTCTGGGGACTGTGATGATGGAATGTGGGCACGTCTTGCCCTCGAGTTGTCAGAATTGCTCCTGGGGTATACACTTGCCCCTTCTTGGTCATCCTGGTTTGTTTCTGTCCCTCATCTGTTTCAGAAACATCTATACCTGCAGGTGCAGTTTTGGCTCCTATTTGCCAGGGCTTTCAGGAGGTGGCATCCACTCTCTGTGTTCCTCCCCAGCCTACAGTGCTGCCAAAAGCCACCAGCCTAAATCTTCAACAATTCAATCCTCTACCATACCCAGTCATAGTTACAAAACAGAACCCTAACCTCTCCCTCTAAAGACAAAGGGAGCTTCTGCGGTGTGATATTTTACCCCTAAATATGCCCTGCCCAACCATCCACACCCGCTTCTCAATCTGTGATTTATGGGTATAATTTGCAGCCAGTTCTTAGCCAATGAAACCATACTTTTCCCCTTTATTGCTCTGAGCAGAGTGATTGTAACCCTAATTGCAACTTTTACCTGCTTCATTCCAGAGGGAACCATGATGGATTATTTAGGTAGGCAGAGACCCCTGAACACTACCTTAGTAAAATGACAGACTGCTAATGGTGAAGTTACTAGGAATTTGGCATGTTAGATGGGTAAGCTCTTTCTAAAGACACTTCTCTGACACCCTAAAGCCAGCTATCCATCACGGCCAACAAAGAGATACAGAGGCTGCTGGGAGTAAGCAAGAATGCAGGGCTTCTATAGATAATATATAAGGGAACTGCACTACAACCTTCACCATATGGTGTTGGAGGTCTCATCAATTGGAATAGGCTGAAGAGGATGGTTTTCAGATCCAGCCAAAAGCAGCAAGTGTGGCATATTTTATACCAACACAAGGGTAATTATCTTGCAATACTTCAGTGATGCATGTGAGGTTAACACACAGGTCTGAGGTGTCCGTTGATCTTTAATTAATAAAGGATCATCACTCATAATGAGTGCAGTCATTGTAGGGAAAGAAATGGATACACTCAGGTCACCTAAAGGAGTGTGGCAATACTGTCATTTTTCTCTGCATTTGCTTAAGCATTCCCGCAAACCTAAACTTATTTTCAGCAGCGATGGACAATTATTTTCTCAACAATTGGCAGAGGCCAACTTCAAAGCCATCCTGACTTGGATTTTCCAATGTCCTAATTATAAGATGAGGCTTAATGAGGTTTTGATTGTCCTGTGAATTATGCAAATGAACCCAGAAATGGTGCTAACATTGACTTAAAGAAGCACTCTGAAGTTGTCCTTCAGAGAGTCAAACTTGGCCTAGGAGCCAAATGGGAGCACTAGCAGAAGACCAAGTGAGGAGAAGCAACTTTCTCCAACCGCCCAAACCAACACAGGTTTTTAATAAATGGATGGCCGAGTGGAATCTATGCTGGTGCCACCTGAATGCTCACTAATTTTTCTGAAACTAATGAACCCTAAGAAGACTGGCCAACTGGTGGTGGTGGCACACTCCTTTAATTCCAGCACTCGGGAGGCAACCGTAGGTGGATCTATGTGAGCTCCAGGCCAGCCTGGTCTACAGTAGAGTGAGTTCCAGGACAGCCAAGGCTGTTACACAGAGAAACCCTGTCACCATCAATTGCCAATAGCTCCTCAGTCAGGTGAGGGGTGGGAGCTTGGGAGCCACTCCCATACCCGTGTAATTGCATAGTTTCGAACACTTATAGAATATTTCACATGGAGAACTGTCCATAGTTCTCAGCTGTGGGAATTGCAATTACATGTATTTTCTCTATAAGAGTTTATTATTTGTGATCCATCCCATTGACATACATTCCCATTCAATGTCTACTTTTCCCACCAGAAAACAAGCATGCCTATGTAATAACAAGAAATATGCCAGGTAAGGCAGTATGTCCAATTTCCCAAAGACTGGAAGGCCATGCCCCAGCCCATTCCTGAGCCTGGGAAATGAGACATCAAAGTCATTGGAGATGCTCTGGAGATGTGATAGATACTTTGCCACGTACTCACCCGTGCGGTGAAGTCCACGGCAGCTGCTCGGTTTAACAGCAACGTAGCCACGTTAATATTCCCGTAGTGGGCAGCTATGTGGAGCGGGGTGAAGCCACTCTGTGAAGAAAACACAATGAATGGTCAGTTGATTTCTTCCAGCTCCTCTTATGCTTAGATCAAAACGAGGGAGCGAAATATGCTGGGGTCCACATTCCATTCTGTGCTAGGCTTCTTCAGTCAGGGCCAATGGCTCATAGGGTCTCTAAGGAAACCCAAACTCACTGGCAGAGGGAGAGCCAGGGAAAACCCAGGGATAGAGACTCATCAACTTAAGGAATCCACTAGCAGAACTGTGTAGAAGCCAACATCTCAAAAACCCTCATAGTTCACAGTGGTGTGGCTTCCTTCCTACGACTGCTTTAGGCAGGTGAGAAAACTGGCCGTGGAAATTCATGAAAACAAATTCAGTTAGTTTTATATGACAGAAACTCAGGCTAACCCAAGGTCAATGTCAGTCTTAAGGACTAAAGCAATTTGGGGGTGATTCTTAAACTAGGCTCGGGGGAGGGCACGTTCTGTAAGGACCCGAATGCTCATCTGTTCATTAGCAAGGGCCTACTCAGCAACATGACTTTACTGGTGCTTTTCTACCATGGTCATTTTTGCTTCCTTAAAAAAATGCCAGACATGCAGCGATTCACTTATCTCACCACCCCCACCCCACCCCACCCCAAATCGTAACCTTAAAAGAGGTGATGCGTGTCTAGCTTGTTAGCAAGCTTCTTAGCCATGCTAGCCATCACTGCCTCTCATGGAAGGAAGGTGGGTGAGATTGCACCATTCTGAGTAACTCTCCTGTTGCTGACACCATGGAGGGCAAGTGTCATGCAGAACCCTAAAGACTGAGACCCGGAGGAGTGGAGCGACAGGGGTGTCTGCAGCTTCAGGTACAGCGGATAAGCATCGAAAGTCTCAGAGGGCTTGGTTCGTCTCTGTTTACAGATACTCAGAGGTATTTCGAGGATTCCTGAATCTTCCTTCCCAATGCCGAGTTCAGCTGCAGAAAGCCCTGGCAATTAACCCCCTGTCTGCTCTGGCACATGCTCCTTCAAGGGTAGGGGTGGGTGAAGCAGGAATCTAGCCTACAGAAGGCAATGCAAAGAAGGGGGGTGGAGGAAGGGAATGAGGCAGCAAACCTAGGAAATGGAAAGCGATGAAGCAGATCCCGATTATACAAATAGGGAGACAGATACATATATATATACCTCAGTTGCTCTATTCACCACCATCTAGGTTAACACATTGGGAGGCAAAGAGGAGGAAAAAATGAACGGTTAGTTCACTCGGTGACATGGACTGCAGAAAGCTCGTGGCAGCTACAGGATGAAGATGGAAGCTATGATGGAAGGGAATTGGGTGCAGGAAGAAAGCTAGACTCAACGAAGAATGGCTACATAGAGACCTAGTCCCTTGCCCCATTTCCCCCATAGAGACTTCCAAGCAAGACAATAGGGGTCTTCGGCTGTGGCTCTTTCCCTGCAGCATGCTCTCCACAGCTCATCTGTCCTGGCTGTGCTGCCTGTCACTGTAGATGTCAACCCCTCATGCTTGCACACACTATCACTAGCCTTTTGTAACTCTGACCTGATGTCGGAGCTGCACTGCTCAATGCATTCCGTTGTGATATGAAAAGGAAGGAAACTGCAGATGCATGGAAGTCCTTTTCTCTGGAGGTGGCCTCCCTTTTAGCATGCATAAGGCGACATGGACAGCATTCTCTGGCTTCTCAGGTCGAGGCAGGGAGTGACTGCATTGGCTGGCATGGGCACACGTTCTCATTCTTTTTAGTGAAGCTTGCCAAAAGGGAGACCACGTGTTCCTGAAGGTTGCCTGCCTGACTCAGGACAGGGGTGTGAAGGGCTGGAGTGATCTGGGCCTTACCTTTGACTCCACGTCGGCATTGTTGTCATTCTGCAGGAGCAGAGCCGCTGCCTTTGTGTCATCTTTCCGGGCTGCGATATGGAGGGCTGGGAGACGCACTTTTCCCTTTGTGTCATTTTCGAGCAGGAGTGACACAACTTGGTCATGACCTTGCTGCAGAGCTACAGCCAGTGGCGTGAAGCCATCCTGTGAACAGAAGGATGTGTCAAAACCAGCCAAGTGGGTACTTCCCTTATGATTCCATTATCAAATCAGGAAGCAAGGAACGGGATGCCCAAGTGCCAGTTTTTGTTTAGGATTTTTGATACCAATAGCAGATTTAAGAGCACAAAAGTATGTACCGATTACTTATATACTCCAATAACTACATATGTATATGTATTCAAATAAAAAAACAAGATATTTCTACTGTGTAGGAATTTTTCTCCTAAGTGGCTATTAATTATACGCTAATTGGAAAAAACTGAAAATATGTAAAAGTGCTACATAACAAAAATGATATCCAAATGCCAGTGCACATAAAACAATTTTAATGAAACAATATTGTCAAGTGAAATCTAGGCAGTATTTCCAAAGGAGATTTTAAATGAGTTGTAAACTTTCTCACTGATACTTTAGAGATGGGGTAAGTACTCATTATGACCGAGTCTATGCCTGGAAGAACAATGGATGGAGCATGGTCGTTACTACCTCAAGAAAGACTTACATAATAGACTTTTGACTTCTACATCCAGTGAGGGGAAATGACAAGCAATCATGCAGACTCTGACTTTATTGTTTGTTTTCCCAACTGTGTGTACTTATAGTGACAATATGATGTTGTGGTTTATGAACATAGTGGAATAATCAAATTACTAAGCATACACCCCCATCTCAATTCCCAATATTTTTATGGTGAGAACATTAGAAATTCAGCCTTCCAGTAATTGTGCTCTATGCAACATGCCAAGACTAACTACCATCACCATGCAATTCGACAGATCTCCATGAGACTAATCCTTCTGTGTGACACTTTGACCCTTCACCCGACACTTCCCAGTGTTCCCCACAGCTGAGCTGAGGGTACCTCTGCTTCCAGGAGTTCAGTGAAATGGAATTTCAGAATACACCTGGATAAATGTATACATTCTACACATTGTGCCCTTTGGAGTTCCTTGGGATGTAACAAAGAGGAGACAGCTACAGAACCCACAGAGTTTCATTAAATTATGTTTGGTGTAGTGCGCTGACTGGAGAATAACACCCCAAGACTGCAGCACATGGCACTTCTTCCATGGTTTTATTTCCGTACACCCAAAGGAACACTAAAAATGATTTTGACTAGTGAGCCGACAGGCAAATTTCTCATCATTTTTCACTGTGGTCATGACTATTTCTGTAGTCCTCTGGTACAAATATTTCAGTAAAGCATCAGTGAGGCTGAGGAGGAAACTAGGTACTTGAATGCTAATGGCTTGTTTGGTTTTCCAAAGACATTGCTTTCATCATTCACTCCTCTGCTGGAAAATTGATAAATTCCATCATTGCCAGATGGAATACAAATCACCACATTCACATTCATGGATGTGCAAAATATTGGATAAAGGGACAATTCTGCCCAGTTTTTTCCTATATGGATCCCATCCACCTGTTTCCCCACCAACTGTGGGTGTGTGCAGGAATTCCTACTATGACATCTTCCTTCCTGAGATGACCTTCCTCTCCTCTCCATGTTCAAATCTCATTTATACTCCATTCTACAGGATCAGGCTAGCTGTTTCCTTGAACTTTACTGTCTGACAAAATAAGAAAGAAAGGGACACTCCTGTCATTTTTAGTGAGACAACAAGCAGGACAGAAGCAAGATGTCAGCAAGATGAAGCCACAGCTTCACCCTTATATTATATAATATAATATAATCAAAAGATTATTTCATATATATATATATATATATATATATATATATATATATATAT